CAAAAGAAGTCCTTGCTAACAGTCTTTTCCAATAACCCCGAAAGGTTATTAGATATTGGAACAGATTAGCAAACACAAAATTTAACTATTTCTAAATGAAATATTTTTAATAGCCTCATACACACCTATACGTTCAGGACTGTTAAATTCTGCCTGAAGGTTGGGATTCTTTCGTAGGGACCAGCAGAATTCCTGAGATTCCTTATAAATCAATAAATCACTAATTTCATTTAAAGTTCTCGTGTCTCACCAATGCGTTAGGCATTCTCACCGCCTGGGCCGTGTCTCAGAAACGCACGCCGAGCCCTGCCATTCAGTCGGGGGCTCGCGTGTACGTCCGGGCACGTGGTGCAGCCGCATGCTACTTCCGACAGAATATAAAACCACCGCTCAGCTCTCAGATTGTGACGTTCTGAGCAAAACTGAGCCCACTCCAAGAGTGCTCACTGAAACGAACTTAGATTCAGTACAATCTCTTCACACCAAAAAAGTCCGTGCCCCTTCCATAGTGTCCTGGAAGCTGAATTACTTGAAGGAAATCTACTGAGAGAAAGCTGGGTAGGTGACCAATTTGGTCAGCCCCAGTTCAGGGGTGCCACAGGGTGGAAAGTGTCTGCCAGGCTCTTGGCCTGTATTGCATCCAAACTACCATTCGGGGCCGAAACAAAACTCTGAAAGAGGTTCTGAGTAAGAATAACCCAATTTTTTAAAGTGAAGAACTTGAAGAACATAATTTTGCTGATGCCAGCCCTGTTTCAATTAGATTATCAGAGACGATACTGGCATTAAATTTACAAACTTGCCAATATTCTACTAAATAATTCCTTAATAAATAAAATGCAAACAGACGACCTCCAAACTGTCTCCATGTTTTTTAAAAAATAATATCTAAAATTGCTTTGAAATGGTCTCCATGAAAATAGAATTTTTACAGCCAAAACACAACACCGAGATACAGAATACAATTTTCTAAGAATTTTCTATACGGTTTCACAGGACAACATAATATCTGCGTTTCAAGGCAGATAAACCATAAACCATAAACCATTTTACTGAGGAAGAAACAAAATTTCAGAAAGGTCAGCTTTATGAACAGTGCAGCAACACTGTCTGATGCATAAATCTGTTATCAGAAAAATTTCCCAACAAAACTTCCGAGTTCTAATACTTCAAAAGGCTATCTTGGGGCCATTAAAGTGCAGAAGCACAGTGCCAACCGGGGACAATCGGCGTGGGTACTAGATGACAGCCGCCTAATCAGCTAGATATAAGCAATAATCCTCTTTCATGGACTTCGATTAGACTCAGACTTTACCGAGGAAGAGAAAGTGCTTTGTTCCTTAAACAGTGATATGGGCTTTCTTTCTGCGGATGCTGGATTTTGTTGGCATTTAAAACTACCGTCTTGTTACTTAGGTGTCATTCAACTTTACTTAAACAATTAAAAGGTGCTGGTATCGGCACTAGCGGTGGCAGTGGTAGTGGTAACGGACTAGGAATCATAAGGGCGGCAGTGCACACGTCACTCGACTAAGCACCGGGCACTGTGCTCAGCGCGTGCGTGCATCGTGCATCCCGGCGCCTCATTAATGAACCGTCGACTCATTTAACCATCCCTTTTAGTGCCTTTGCCCTCACAGTTACCGAGGAAGGTTTGCTATTATTCTCATTTCACAGACGAGGAAACAAAGTACGAAGAGGTTAAGTAATGTGTCCAATGGCCCCTGGTGACTAAGTCATGGAGCCAGAATGCATACCTCTGAACCTGCTACCAGAGTAAAAATAACTCATTTTATCGATGGAATTTAACTAACTACATGTAAATACTGCTGAGGACATCAAAACAAACATTTTGCGTAATCTCGAAATTTTAAAAAAACACACAAAATATTCACCTTGTTTTCCCTTTCAAAACCTGAGTCCCCAAAGGACAAAATTTATTTCAATTTACATCTATAATAAGGCTGCGAATGCCAAATATGAGTATTTCCCCACCGTCTTTTCCACAAACTAAGCCCTGCCTTTTTTTTCTACTTCTCTTAGAAGTGAGAAGAGGACCACTGAATCCATACAGATTAACCACAGGACTCAGAACTAAGGCCACCTACAGCCACATGACTGTTATTTGTGCTGAGAAATCTCCCTACAAAGATAAGGCTGTAAATCAGTAAATCACTTCGTTAAATGCATCAGGAACTTCCCAGAAGTCCATCTGCCCCAACGAGGGACTGCTAAAACAATCCGGTCTGCACAATGTTCCCTCCACTTGGCAAACAACTCACTTATCAAGCAACTGGTACTGAAAAGCGGTGGTTAAGATCCTTGCCTGTTTCCACTGATCCTAAACTATTACGTGAACTCTTGCCCAGGTTCAGTCCGATCGCTGCACTGACAGACCCACCTTCGCTCTCTGTCCCACCTGAAACTCTGCGCCCTCCGCCATGCCCTCTCCCTTGTGAAGTCTACTGCGCCTCCATCTAGGCACTCCCTCCTTGTGATAAGCAAGAAGTTGAGCTGCTTGATCGACAGGCTCTGCTGGCCTTGGGCCGGGGTGGAGGGGGGAGGCGTCGACCAAAAGGGCAGGTGAGGCCCCATTCCCTTCGGCTGCTCTTTTATCGACAACTTTTTTTTTTTGAAATCTCTTCTCTCATACCTGTACTAGACCACAGATGAAATTAAATACACCAGGAAATGAGATCATTATAAAGAAAGATAACCAGAAGCCAGCAGCTGAAAGGGGGCTGATGGATCTAACAATAAATTCGATGAGAGACATCGAACTACACTGCATCATAGCCAGTTTAAGCTGAACTGGGTTAATTACACATTTCAAAATGGTCTCAGAGTCCCTAAAACTGAGGTTTAGAAATAAAAGAAAAGAAAGCCTTGAAATGCCAAAGTTTAAAGCATTCTGTCATCTAAATAAATTTTACAAAAATTTCTTTAACTCATTTGTCTCTAATGATAGGTATCAAATATGAATATACAAAATATTGTTAGTCTTTAAAGAACAGCTCTGAGTAAAAATGATTTAAACCTGTATAGATATAAAATTAGTCATTTTGACATCACATTTCATTTACAATCATTTTTAGTAGATTTATCATAGTCATTTATGTAGTTATTAAGGTATAAAACCAGTATTTATTCTAATTCTATTTTATTTTCGCTTCTTTCCATGTATCACATTTTTCCTTAAAAAAACAATTAATTCAGATAAAGATCAAATTTAACGTATTAAGATGCCAAAAATAGGCTTTTTATAAAGCTGAGGTCTTTAAACAAGAACTCATCTCATACGTTAAAATGTGTGTGCATTGTGTGTGTGTATATATATAGTGTGTAGCCATGCCCAGGGAAGAGAAGTGAGTGCAACATAAAATCCTGATTTTTCTCATAGGCTGTCAACACCAGCCATTTCAAATACTACTATTACTTCCTGCAGAAGGTGGCCAACCGTGTGATGCTTTTGCTGTGACCGGCGTGGAGCCACGCATGCAGAGGAAAGAATATGGAGGTTACAAGAGACTGGGGTTGACATCTTGGCTTCCCTACTCTAAATTAGGGAAAACGACTTCTTCTCTTGGATAGCCTCAGCTTGCTTATCTGGAAAAAGTGAGATACCGCCTCTTGATGTAATTGCCAAGGAGGTTAAAGATGATAATGTACAGGTTACTCGGTCACTACCTGGCACATCGTGGCCAGTTCTCCATGAATGTCTGCCAACCACCATGCATGCTGCTTCCTGCAGTTACGGTCCTAAGGATCTACGAGATATTGAAGTACTTCCTAAATAATTAAAGGAGTATTAATTATGCAATGAGGTCTTTAAGGTTCATATCTTTTCAACCAATAATTCCACTGCTAGGAAACTAGCCAAAAGAAATAATTAGAGATAGTGTCAAATATTTATGTACAAATGTATTCTTCAAAGCTTTATTTTTACAACAAAAACCTGGAAACGAGCTAAGCATCTAAATATTATGCTACATCTATATGGTTGCACAGTGTACAACAATTAAAATATTCATGAAGAATTAAGAGCATCCGAAATGCTCCCACTGAAATTAAAACCTAAGCCTACAGACCTATACCTCAACCATGTTAACAGTTACATTCAGATGTGTCAGTTACACACAAACACAGGTATGTGCAGAATAAAAGAATCTGGAGGAAATGTCAAAATATCAACAATGACTATCTTGGGATGATGAGAAAACAGGTAACTTTCATTGTTTTTTTCAATGCTTTTTTGTTTTTTTATTTTCTATTGTATACCTGAATTACTTTCATACTTAGAAAAAAATTTAATCCATCAATTATGTTAATTATTCTGTACATTCTAGTTTTTTAAGGATGATTTTTTAAATTATACCCATCTCACTTCCAAAAAGATGTGGGATAACTGACAAAAATATATACAACAGACTAAAATAAATAGATGAAGAGAAATGAATACAAAAAAAACCTACAAACTCTCAGGATACATCTATATACTTGTGTCTCTCAATCTAGCTGTCATGTCATACATATGTAGCTGTCACATACATTAGTCAAACTTTGTTTCAGATATTGAGAAGTGAAGGAAGTTTCTTCAACTTTCTCAAAAAGGGCATACTGCAGATATGGAAGATATTGTTTTAAACTGTACATCAGGAGTCCTACTTAACTAGGTGAATCTTGGTTATATGGTTGGGAGGAGAAGAGGCAGATTAAAAGTCAAGGAATCAAGCCCTGTAACAGGATGAGCATATGGCCCTGATCAGCAACCCAAGGAACATCTTTTAGAAATGCACAGGTACAAATATAGAGAGAAACAGATTTGGACGCTTTTCTCCTCACCTTTATTTTGTCATCTTTATTCATGTGCCTTCGAAGAAAAAATTAAATGTTAAGATTACACTTTAATTTCTACATAAAAAATAAATGAGAAAATAGACATTAAGAAAATAAGTTCCTCTTAACAAAATGATTGAATGTGTATTCAACACAGCACTTACCTTCACTGATGGCGTGAGGCTTAATAATGCAACAGGTACAATTGGTAAATTTAGCAGTGTTTGCTGGTCCACAAACTCCACTCGAAGGAAAAAATAACTCCATTTCCTATAAACAGAGAGAAATGACTTTGGCATGAGTAACCTCTTATCTTGAATGCCTACGATATTTATGTGAAAGGGGGAGAACTATACATTTACTTTAAAAGTTTCATAATATCAATTGTTTGCTTCAAATTTTCTAAAAAATGATTTTAACTGGTTAAAACTAGTGAACTAAACCCTGTTTAAAGTCTTACGATCAAAAGAACATATAAAGTATTAATTAAAGCAATGAGAATATGTATCATTGTGTCCCATTAATAAAATTGATAATGTCATAACATTTTGAGTGTTTAAGTAATCAATAGGAGGTTCTTATTTTCCCCATAGCATTAGGTCATGAGACACAGGTCCACTTTTAAACTTTTTATTAAACTACGTAAAATAAAATTAAAAACTAAAACGTCTTTATAGGAACAGAGATTAGTATTGAAGAATCAGAACTACAGCCTACAAGAGATTCACTTCTGATAGAAAGACACAGAATGAAAGCACAGGGATGGAAAAAGATGCTTCTTGAAAATGGAAACAAAAACGAAAGCTGGGGTAGCAATACTTGTATCAGCAGACTTTAAAAGAAAGGCTAGAGCAAGAAATAAAGAAGGACCCAGCAATTCCAAAGCACTAATTTTAAAAAAGCATGTGCCTCTATATGTTCTATATGCAGCCTTATTTACAAATAGCCAAGATATGGAGGCCACCTAAGTGTCCATCAACAGAAGAATGGATTCAGAGGTGGTACATATACACAAGGGAATATTACTCAGCCGTAAAAAAGAATAAAATCTTGCCATCTACGACAACATGGATGGATCTAGAGGGTATTATGGTGAGTGAAATAAGTCAGAGAGAAAGACAAATACCACATGAGTTCACTTTTTGGTAGGATCTAAGAAACAAACGAACAAACAAAACGGAAACAAACTCACAGATACAGAGAACATTTTGATGGTTGCCAGATGTGAGGGCAGTTAGGGGGATGAGTGAGGGAATGAAGGGATTAAGAGGTACAGATTGGTAGTTGGAAAGAGTCATAGGGATGTAAAATATAGCAAAGGGGACGCAGTCAGTGACATAATAACTACACGAGGTGTCGGCTGGGTACTAGATTTATCGGGGTGATCGCTCTGTTAAGTTATGTAAATGTTGTACGCCTGAAACTAATATTGTATGTCAACTGTAACTGAAAATTTAAAAATTTTTTTAAATGTTAAAAAAAAGAATCAGAACTACAGTTAGTTAAACCTAATTAACTTACCATAGTTCTAGTACAAAATCAAATCGAATGAATAATATTTTATAGTTAGATTCAGGCTGTGCTGTTTCCAAATGGTTCATTAAAATGACAACCCAGCGATTCGAACTGGTCACAAACATGGTCACACTAATCACTTATTTTAATGATTTAGACAGATACTTTCTTATCTCTAAGCTTTTACCACTGTTATTTCCACTATTCCCTATAAAGCCCTCGGTCCCAAGCTGCAAAGAACCCTACCAATGTGTAAAGGGCCACTTCAAACATCGCCTCCTCCAGGAGATCTTTTCTGACGCCCCCATCAGCACCCTGTACCCCTTTCCGATGCCCCCATCAGCACCCTTTACCCCCAAAGTTGTGCTTGTTGGGATAACTGTCTTCTACAAACTATAAATTTGAAGAAAGGCACTGACTCGCATACGTTTGCAGGGTCTCTAGCACCCGAAAAAGAATGGCCCAGAGTAAATACTCCTCTTTTGTTGAATTTAAACACTGAAAGGTCACAGGATGTGTTAATGTATCACGCCGATGCACGTTTTAAATGACCACTCGGGAAGATGAACTGTACAAACAGAGGCGTCTATACTTGAGCGATTCCGACGTTATCAGGTCTTAGAATAAAACGTTCTCTTCCCCGTGTGACAGGGGCATGGCAGAGGGCTGCAAACTGGAGAGGGAACGGCCCTCCTGGAGGTCGCATTTCTCTGCTCCCTTCACACAAAACTCCCCAAAGACAGTCTTTTTTCTCCATCTTTACTTCCTCTCCTCCATTCTCTCAAACTCACAACTATGGAGGCTTTCATTACAGCAGAGCCGCGCACCAGAATCCCCAACCGCCTCTGGGCTGCCGAGTCCCCTCGCTAATCCTGACCTTATGTCAGCCTGACCACGCCCCAGCTCCCGGCTGCTTTCGCCACGTGGCTTCCTTCCTGCCTCAGCGGCTGCTCCTTCTCGGTCTCCTCGGATGGCTTTGCCCTCTCTCACTGACCCCCCAAGTGCTGCAGCGCCCCAGGGCTCCGTCTGCCTTCTCCCCGTGGTCACTCTCTTGGGGAGCTCAGTCTCACGGCTTCCAATGCCGTCTGTATTCTGAAGGCTCCCACGATTTACCCGCGGCCCAACCCCGTCCTTAAACTCCATGACCGTACCTGTGCCACTACCGCTCATAGACGTTTCATATTTACAAACAGAACTCCTGATTTCTCCTCCCCCCTAAATCTGCTCACTCCCGCCATTTCCCCCATCCTTCCAACTGCACAGCTCCCCCCGCAAAAAAATGTAAAAATAATTTTAAAAACTTAAGAGTGATCCCTGATTCCTCTCTTTTTCTTATCCACCCATCCAAACTACCAGGAAATCCTTTAAAATATACCCGGAATGCAGCCCCCTCCACACCTGTCACCTGGCCCGTGCCACCAACTGGCCCTTGGACAGCTGTGCTCCCACCCGAGCTTTGCCCGCACCCACCCCGCCCTGCCCGATCTACTCAACACAGCGCCAGAGTGGAAGTTGTCAGAGCTGATCGCGTCGCTGCACAGAACCCTCCGATGGCCTCCTACCTCACCTGGGACGAATTCCCAAGGCCGGGATGCCCGTGGCTCTCACTCTGAACCAATCCAGTTCTACAGGACACCGCGCATTTCTGCCCTGGCCTCGCCGACTCGCTGCTCCTTGAACACGGCAAACATGTCCCCCGCCTCGATTCCTCTCCTTCGCTCGACGCCTTCCCCAGACGTTTGCTTGAGTTTCTCCCTCACCTCCCTCCTCGTCTCCGCTCGAACCAAAGGCAGTGAGCACGTCCCGACGCCCTGTACTCAACAGCACTCAACACGGCCCCTCCTCGCCCTGTCCCTTCTCTGTCCCCTGCCCTCGCTTTATCTCCTCCAGAGCATTTAGCACCCAGCACATTACGTGTCTGGTTATTCAGTGTCTGACACCCCCCATCAGAGGCACGTGAGCTCCCTGGAGCCAGGACTTGGGTTTGTTCACCAGAACCTTCTCGATACCTGCGAATAATTGAAATTCAAAAACTTAGAAATTCTGCATGTGCTAAATAAAATAGCGTCTGTCTCCGCACTGTACCAAAGAGAAAAATGACACTCAGAAAGCCTGAGCAACAATCCCCTTACCAGTCAGCCAGTGGCAAGGCCAGGATTCACATCCGGGTCATGCTGGCATAAAGCCCTGGGTAGTTTTCTAGCGTTGGTCTTTCAAAAGCACAAAAAGAGTGCTAAATTGTTCTGCCTCTAGTTGAACCGATTATTTGGCCAATGATTTTTGTCTCATCTTTCCTTTAATTTCTTTTCTTGTTTAATTTTTATAATTAAAAACACCAGCTTTCCAAATACTCATTTACATATGCTGAATAAATATGTATTTAAGGCAGAGAATATAAAGGTTTTACTTAAATACATATTCTTAGTGAAAGTGAGTAATTCTGTTTCATATCTTTGCTTCCTCTTTGCCCCTGGGCAGGCTGTCATTATCCATCCTACCCATTAATCCAAGCTAACATTTGTAAGAGCACTTTTACTTGGTCACTGTTATGGCGACTTGAATTCAGAGACTTCACACGACGACGACGTGAAGTCCCACACCTAAGCATTTTTCATAAAGCTCCTCTCCTTCCAGGGGCCCTTGCTCTTACCCTGGCCTTTCGTATGTCCCTAAACTGCCCAGCAGGGAAAGATAAATGTATGTGACTTCCCCCCAAAATAAAATTCAGACTCAATTTAATAAGCTTTAAGTAACGTCCTTTTCACTAAATGTTGTTTAACAAACTCGTGTTTATGGTTGCAGGGTTCATCAGTTCCGCCCTGGTAAGACCCTAGGGCCACCTCACTAAAACATGACTCGCTGCATCCCCTCTTTCATTACCATAATAAAAGCGTCACTAAATGGCTGCCAGTTTAGTTTCTCCAAAACTTTTACACCGCGATTTTAAATATCGGTTTTGTAAATGCCTCAGATTAAAACATTTTAAAAATATCAAACTTTCCCTATACCGATCCTAATATCAGATAAGAAATCTGTTATCAGAAAATCATCTAAAACATTAATGAAATATTAAATCACACGATCAATGCACCCTTATTTCAAGTATGGGGAAAAAAAAAATCAAACCTAACGAAATATCCAATGGCGAGGGACTAAATCATGTAATATTCATGCAGGAGAATATTCTGCAGCCATCAAAATTTACTCTTTTGACAGCAAACTAGTAACATATAAAATGTTATGATATAATATTAAGTGATAAAAAGACTCAAATTAAAACCATGTAAAATGATGTTTACTATGTAAATTTATATAAATGATCAACGGAATGAGCTGGAAGGAACACGTCATAAATAGGTAAACTGTCGATACAGTTGGCAGGGTTACTGATGACCAATTTCCTTTAGTTTCCTAATTCCCTGAAAAGCATCTCCATTACTCCCATATTCTAAAACACTGTAATGTTGAAACTCCAGCGTACGCAGGGGAGAGTGGCAGTCGGGCACAGGGATGCTGGGGCCAGACATGCCTGGGCTCTGTCCTCAGGTGGCCCAGGTACTTAAACCTATCGAGTCCCAGGTTCTGCAACAGCAAAGTGGGATGATCGGAGTGACCGCACAGGATGCTGTGAAAAATGAGACTCGAGGGCTTGGAACGGTGCCTGTTACATAGTGAGCGCTCAATAATCATGAGGTTCTTTGTCGTTTTTAATTCCAAAACTTTTTTAAACACCTGTGATCTAGATCCTGGAGGTATGGAGGTATATTAAACATCCTCAAGAAATTCCCAGTCTACTAGGAGGATAAATATAAAATCAAACAGTTCTGAGACTTGGTAAGGCACAGAGCAGCGGTCCCCAACCTTTCCGGCCCCAGGGACCGGTGCTCTTATGAGAATCTAATGCCTGATGATCTGAGGTGGAGCTGAGGCGGTGATGCCAGCGCTGGGGGCAGCTGCAAACACAGGTGAAGATTCGCTCACCTCCTGCTGTGAGACCCAGTCCCTAACAGGCCACAGACCAGACCGGTACCGGTGCACAGCACAGGGGTGGGAGACCACTGATGTAGACCACAGTGATTGGATTCAAAGTTTAATTTGAAAGGAGAGCTGAAACGATGTATGGATAGAGTCGTAAGAAAAAAATCATTATAAAACTGTCTAATATTATTTCATTGTAAACATGACCAGACTAAAAACTGTCTTAAATTAGCTGAGAACTTCTCATGATGCTAAGAATAAACTTGTACTCTGTTAATGCAACATCGGTATAAGCCCAGTGTAATGCTTTATTTATATGGATTTAAAACAAGGAGTGACCGTAGGGAAACTTTTTCATAAACACTAGCTATATATAGGAAAAGAAAAGGATGTTAAGCTTGAAACTAGAGTGTTAGGTCTGAGTTAAAGACCTATGATGCCTTCTTTTTGAACGTTCATTGTCCATAAACTGCTATTCACACATAAATTCAATAATCCAGACACTGATTAGCCTCAGTAATTTCAGTCTTTGGAATAAGAAATGGGACAACAAGTATTTTAAATAGAGAAAACTCATCCTGGCCATGACCAGGCTACCAGTTCACGAAGGAGACAACATCTTTGAAACAGTTTAATCCTAGGCAAAAGATCAAAGGTCTTCTCTACCGGTAGATCAGCTGTATGAATCCACCCCATGTTAATGGTGACAAAATGCTTCACTTTGACATCCAACACTTCACAAAACCAAAACAAAATTAAAATATGTTGAAAACACCTTACTCTGGCAGCACAAGCGAAAGAATCAGGGCCGTGGGCTGCATTTCTTATGCCGTCTGTTCCGAAGAGGGCTCTCAGGCTTCCAGGGGCATCTGCACGTGCCACCAGAGAGTTTGCGTGTCCGAGAATCCTCTTCCATTCGCAGATCGCGTCATCTCTTAGGATCTCCATGGCAATAACAGGGCCACTCGTAATAAACTGGATCAGCTCACTGGGAAACAGGCAGAACATGGATTTGCTTCATTTTTCTGTCAAGCTAGGTATCTCTCTTAACAAGAATATATTACAATCTGAGTATTTCAACACACACAGCTATTATGATCTCAGAACTACTGGACATAATGATTTTTACATGGGCTAGATAAAATTTTCATAAATCGAGTGTCTTGCAGTGGCCTGAGTCACTCTGAATCACGAGTGTTGTCAAATCAATTACTGTTGATTTGGCAAAAAAAAAAATCAGTTTCATTGAATGAAGACTCTTTCATTGACTTAAGTACATATTGTTGATCTATGCTTTTCCCATTGTCCTAAAAGGTACAGAAAAGTCTTCCTTTTTACTTTCATGTGGTTTATTGCAGTCAAATAAAATTTCATAATGAAGTGATGAGAGTGATGTCTTAACATATTTACACTAAGTATTTTCTGTAAAACTATTCAAATTCAAAGAGTGACAATGAACTGTCAATCAATAAGCATTAAGTTGGTCTAATGATTAAAAAAAAAAAATCAATAGGCCTTCAAGAAATATCCTTTTATTCACATAAAAGCTACTGCGGGTTATTCCTATCTTAAATTATTAAAGTGTACACACAGGTTCTTGATTAAAACTCCAGCACTGAGTTGCAGTACCCCAAGGCACGCATGAAAAACTAAAGCTCATTTCATTTTTCCACTTCTAGACGTGTACAAGGCAGAAACGACAAGTTTAACTGTGAATAAGGGACGCCATTCCTCCGACTGCTGAGCGGGGAGAGTATACCTTTTTAAAAGTAAGCCCATGTTCTTCTCTCATCCAGAGAGAGGATGGGACCCTCCTGGGGACAGCAGCATGGTGTGACACGCCCGTTTGTGTGTTTGTGTGTGCTAACTCCCGACTGCTTGACATGGTCCTGCCCGCACGAACCACGGTACGTGAGCTAACTCCCTTCGGTACCTCTTCTTTAAATCGACTCATTCTGAAGGACATTCTGAGAAACAGCCATGTACAGAGAAGCCTTTCTATCGTACAAGGCACGCAGACCTCCTCAAGCAGACTGTCAGGCCTCGGGTGCCGGAAACTTCAAGGCAAGGGAACAAACACGTGTTTACCTGCTCTACAGACATTTAATGGTCACCCGCTACGAATCAGAATAGGCTAGAAAACAAGATCCTTCCCTCGAGAATCGTATAATGTCCTTTTAATACAGAACTCCCCAAACACGCAGCAAAGCCCATAACACGAGGTGGCGTGGAACGGTGTGCCCGGCCACAGAAGCCACCGCTTCGGCAATGTCCTCCCGATACCACAGCTACATCTTTTGCTATGTGTTTACTGATGCAGTATGAAAACTAGTTAATTCGTACATTTAATAACATTTACCGCACACTAATTACATAGAGGATACTAAGTCAGGGGCTGGAACAGGATGCCGCAAGCGTGTACGAAGACTACGGCGAAGAGTATATTCCAAGAGAATCACATAATCCTCACCTAACAAGGCCTGGAAACGTTCTAAATAATCTATAAATAATCTGTAAATAATCTATAGATTATCTGTAAATAATCTATAGCATAATAAATTTCTCATACAGAACTTTTTTAAAAAGCACTACTCTGCGCAGGTACCGTATGGCACGTCGGTAAGTGGCAGCCTGGCCACCACCGTTTGTTACGAGAAACGTAAGCTCTCTTTTGTCTGTCAACAGCAATGACTCGCACGATGTCCACGTAAATTTAAACACAACCTAAATATTTAGAACATAGATTCGGTTTTTAACATATATTTGTGGCTATATTTCAAGAACAAAATGTATGTCAAACCATTTAAGCTATAAGCGTTCTGCGGACATTGTTTATGCACATGAGAACTGCAAGAGTTTAAAGGCACAACAAAAACACACATTCAACATGAAATGCAATTATCACCCTTTTTTGATCTACTAAATCTAAAAAGAAAGCTATGCTTCTTATAAATAAATTATCCCTTTAAAAAATCATCCTATTTGCTTCTGATTAAAGTTTAAGATATTTAATGATAAGAACTCTTATCTAATAAAAGAACAGAAAAAATTGTTAGGAAGAAAGTTCTCTGTAGTTGCAAGATGTCGCTGTGGTCCTTTTGACAGATAATTCTCATGTAATAAATTTAATTGTAAAATTACAACCCTTTAGTTTTCCAGAACATTCTCCATTATATGCCACTAGCCCCAAATTCAGCACCTACTTTAAGAAGGGCTTTGAATGATGATCTATATGAAAATCTGTTGCTTCTTTCCTGTAAAATGATCAAAATGACAACAGTTAAGAATTATGTGAGAAAATTATTTTAGCTTACATTAATGAAATAAAGATGAAATCCTCTATTTGATCTGCATGTGACCTGATTAATGATTTTTCAACAAATATTCTGCCCAAATCTCCGCTCGTTTAAAATTTTTGCTTTTGCTTTTTATATCACCAACTGCAGAAAAAAAACTTCTAGAGGATAAGTATTCACAAAAATGAAGGATATATTGTATTGCAGCGTAAAATGAGGTAAAACTGAATGCCTAAAAAACTCACATGGGGAGTATTTTAGAAGAGTTAGCAGCAAGACACTAAAATGACGAATTCTAGTTTTCAACACAATGGAACTACTAAATGAGAAAAAAAATCGTAATCTTTAGTATTAATGAAAACAAAAATCTTAATAAACTATTATAACTATTTCATAGTTTTCTCCTAACATGTCGCCGGGCCCATAGTGACCTCCATCAAACTCTAAAATTGAAACCAAATGAGCGTTCATGAATTTTCCCTTCATTCTTATCTAATTCATTACCTTATCATAATCCTTCCTTAAAACATTTACAGATTCACAAGTGCATTCCCACCTAGAGAAGTTTTGTTGTTGTTGTCTTATGTCTTGTTCTTATAAAGAAACGTACCATTTTCTCACAATGTTCTATCCATTTATTCTTTCATAAAATATTTACTTATTGCCTACGCTGACTGAAAGCATTGATCTAAGAACTAGAGATACAAAGTCAGATGAAAGTCAGCTGCTGCCTTCAAGAAACTAACGATGGAGGAACCGCCATTTGAGCACATTTTAGGAAAGATCTTAGTATTGGGACATTCTCCCCCATGGGTGTCTGGCGCCCCGAACACGTCTGACGGGGTGCGCCGGGAACGCAAGGCCCCGGCAAGCTCTTCTTCCCCGCCGTTTCCCAGAGCTGCGTGTCCAGGGAGCGGCTTTGAGGGATGAGGTGCTGTCTCTTCAGTGCCAAGAGCAGGCTCGTTTACTGAAATGGCAGGTCACCCAAGTTCACCGCTCCTCAGCTGTGTCGCCACCGACTGTCTACCACACCCGCCGGGCCCATATCACGTTATTCCCATGGGATGCGGAGACACGGGAACCAACACAAACGTGACGCTCCCGCGGCACCATGGCACAGTCCCCTGTCTGCGACCCAGAGGCCCCACGTCTTCCTCTAGCATCCGTGAAAGTCTCATACGAACTCACTAGCTTTTAAGGCGGGTAAAACCCCAGACTCGACTGGAATATTAATAGAAATGTACGAGGTGGTGTAACAGTTAAAGACGAAGATTTCCTGGGCATCTTTGTCACGGGAAGTTTGACGCCAAATGATCAGGCATTGGAAGTACAGAGGCATAAAAAATATTTCATCTCACCGAAACCATTCCGAGTCAGCTCTCCGGAATTCAGTGCAATTGCCTGCTGTAAGAGCAAGCATTCTCAGTACAGACAGAAATAAGACAAATACTACTACTTATAAAGGGTTTCCACTAAATAGTAATGGTATCACGAGTACTACTGGTAACTAATAATAACGGCTAACCTTTAATACTTACTATGTGCCAGGGTTTTTCAAAGCACCTACGTATACCAAGCCCACGTAGCCCTCCTAACAGCTTTCTGATTCAGGTGCTATTATTACCTCCACTTTGCAGACGAAGAAATCGAAGCCCAGAGGTAAACTGTTTAGTCACACACCTAGTAAGAGACACAGTCATGAGCTCTAGACTGTGCTCTGAACTGTAAACCTCCTGCCTCTCTAGAAAATATGTAAACTGGGAGACCTTACAGAGGAAAAACTCAAATTAAACGTACGCTATTGTTGGGGTTAAGTTGAGGGTGTTTTCTTAAGGTTTCTAGGGGGTCAGACTTATCAAGCTCCATTGAATAGCCATGGCTAGCCACTGTCCCTGTACTCAGACAGAAAAAAGCAACCGTCCCATGGGACAGGTATGCGGGGACAGCAGTGAGAAGACCAAACGCAAACCCAAAAAGTGGCGGAGTAACACGGGACACGGCTGAAGCCGGCTCCCCCAACGGCCGCCCATGGCAAAGTCGTATTTCACTCATTAATGGAGAATGCTGGTCAGATAGAATGGATAGCTTTGCAGAGTAGTAAACGGCTATATTTACCAATTATATATATTAGGATGAGCTAAATACACACATTTCCAAAGGCGTCACTTTTGGAAATCTCAACAACAGGACTCCCTTGTCAAATAGAAACAAACGTTCCTGTCCGTCTGCCATTTTTATATGGTGTTATACTCGCAGATTAAGAAGAGATTACAATTATCACACATCGGTGTTAATAAAATGCAGGTGAGGTTAATGGAGACAATAAACAGGTAATGAGTTATGTGTGATCTGACCACTCCTATTTGCTTAGAGTTTAATCATTATGCATCTGATTACTTGCTGTCTTATATTTTTTCATTCTAATAAGATTACTATTCTATTCTTTGTCATTTGGTAGATTTTTAAGTATTAAACATGAATGAGAAAAGATGATTTTTAAAAAGGATACCAGACATTGCATAACTGAAAATTATCAACTTACCTGGAAAGCATCATCATTTTCAATTTGGTTATAGTAAATCCAGCTTTGTTTATTATTTCAATTATTTCTCCAACTTTTGATACTGCATCTGGTTTAATCAGGGCTAATGTTCTAGAAAGAAAGAAAGAAAATAAGTTTGAAAAAAATAGCTCAGCAGTTTTTACTTTTAATTCTCAAGCAGTGTAGTTTCCTTAACTTTCATCCTAGATCATCAAACATCAAAATGATATATAAAGAGAAGTATATTAAAGGTCACATTAAAATTTCTACAAACTAAATTAACTATTTTTTCCCAAGAAATCCAAAATTAGATACCCAATCTAAAAATAATAATAAAAGCTTAGGGGGAAAAACATTAAAATTGTCATTTTAATACACTAAAATTAGAAAACGCAGGTGTTTAAAATTTCTATTTCTTAGAACCTATTTTTTAAAAGAGAACAACATCTCTACAAAGTTGCATTAAATATGTTATGAGCTCGATTTTTGGTCTCTTAGACTTTAACATCCATATGCTATGCGGTTGGTTCAGCATTGATTTGGAAATAATTACAAATTCTATTAATACTTTCACGTAATTGATTTTCATAGTCATTGCGTGAGTGACGCGCGAAGAACCAAATGTCTTCTTACCTGACGTGAATGGAGGGCAAAGGCCACACCAGCTCAAAATCACACCCTCCCCGCTCGGGGTCCACGAGAGCTCTCCCCGCTGTGAAGCCACAGAATTCACAGGCTGTGAAGATGGCCGTCACCTGGGTGGCCGCCACCTGGTGCCCTCATCTTACTAATGAGAAAACTAGGCCCAGGGAAGTGACACACCTGACGTCTCGCGGCATCTTGCCGGCAGCATCTTCAGATGACAACACTCCAGGTCTGTACTCCCTTCATACCACGAGCAATGGCACTATTAATGTTACTAAGAGGAGCATGATCACGGGATCCTCGAGGGAAATATTTGCAGATGCAAGATAAAAATCAGATTACCTGAACTAATTCAGTTTATATGACACACAAAACTATGACAAAGAATTGACGCCACCTTCTCTTTAGTTTCAATCGTTCCAACACACTGCCATTAATTCAAAAACTCCATCAAAAGCAAATGCTTGGCCTCCTCATAGTTGGCTTTTTTCACCAATGAGACGAACTTAGCTGAGCATCTCATAATTCAAATATCCTTACTTACAGTGGGTCTAACTTACGGCTGGCTTTTAACACTTTTAAAAAACAAAACTTGTTCATATTAGCCTATTTATTACAGGCTATACCAGTCTATCTTTTTTCTTTATTTCGAAGCAAATAAGTCATTTATAGTATTTTATATCATAGGGCTTCACTGAAGACACAATGAAAACTGGTCGCTTTTTAGCTCACATTATTTATATAGAAGCCAAACTAACCCGTTGTTTATGCCAGATTCTACAAGAACTTTCGTGAACCATAGCTCTTAAAGAAAATATCTACTGCATCAGCAGTCACCAATTTCTGTGAACGAGAACGTGGAAAATACAGAACTGACAGTTTAAAACACAGTCTCATTTTCTCTTTAAATGCCTACAGAAGACAGAGGATTGATTACTATGAATAATTACTCTAAATAAATTCCTGTCATGTCCTCACTGCTTAATTGTTCGGTACATAATAATTCAAATGTATTTTGTAAGGAAAACAAGAGAAGCATCAGGAATCACGTTATTTAAAAACGAAAGGGGCATGCGCAGAGACCAAGGCGCACAAAGCCATCTCAGTAATGCTGCTGCCATCTGTTGCTGCGGAGCAAACCACCCAAAACGTAGTGGCTTAAAACAGTTTCTCGAGATTCTGTAAGCTGGCTGGGCACCGGGCATCTGGGATTCACCTGGGATCATTCGCTCAGCTGCATTTGGCTGGGGCAGGGAGAGTCTGCTGGAGACATGGCTTCTCTCCCCTTGCCGTGTTCCATCCTGAAGGAGGCTAGTCCAGGCTGCTTTGCACACAGCCACATGGTGTCCAGTGTTCAAGCACTTATCAAGCATCCCCTTGAGACATGTTTGCTGCTATCCCTTTGGCCAATGCAAATCACGTGGTGAAGTCCAGAGTCAGTGTGAGAGGGGACCAGACAAGGACACAGATACCTGGGGGCCATCACCATGACAATCTACCTCTACCTACGCTGAGGCGTGCTCTGTAGGATGCAGCATGAGATGCTCTCAAAAGAAAATCAAAAAAATATGAAAATCGTTCTTTTACGATTAAAACTTCTTAGTGGAGAGTGAAAAGAGTTTGGCCAGGCTTCACAAAACTAAGACAGGATAGAAATTTCTGGAAAATAACAGTTTTCACAGAGCCGAGCAAAAAATACGTTCTTCATACACCTTCAGGCTCTGAACAAAAACTGCAGCGAACACAGATGTGCTCAGTAAACCGCACAAGCGGCATCCCACGCAGCATCCCACTTAGCATCCCTCACAGCATCCCACGCAGCATCCCACACAGCATCCCACACAGCACGATGCTGCGCGCTCTGGATGCCGCCCGCCTACCGGAAGCTGTGCGTAAACTCTGATCCACTCTAATTTATGTAAACGTTTCTGAAGGTATTCATGTTTTCCCTAAGCATATAAAAACCCATCCTAAAACATCAACCTTAGGCCTGATTTATGGTTCATGTGTCTTTGCCAGTGCAACGTGGGTGCGTGCTCTCTGGGGGAAAAGGAGCAGTCTCCTGCGAGGCACCTGCTGAGCCCGAGCTCTCTGGTGACAACAGCGACAAAGCCACTCAGAGCAATCCTTCCACTGAGAACCGAAAACGGTGGGTAATTATAAAAATGGTTTTTAAAAGCAAAGATAAATTGACACGATACTAAACCGTTATCGTCACAAAAGCGAAAGAAAAATAGGGACCCAGAAACATGCGGAGGAAAGTCGCACCGGCAGCACCGCCCATCTGGCCCATCTGGACTTGATCTGTACCACACCGCCAGGCGGGGGAGGAGGACCCCACGGAGGGGGCTCCCTGCAATACTGTGGGACCACGGCTGTAGCCTGAGGGTGAGCCAGACAGGACCGGGCCTTGCAGGGTCTGGTGGCACAAGTTCCCTTTGCCTGGGTGGCCTGGGACCATCTACCTGTGAACTTAACAGTCATCCGGGTCGCTGCCAAGGCCTCCGAGGAAACGCCCAAAGCGAACGCAGTTCCTCCCTAGGAAGAAGTGAACTGCATCTTGCACCTCAAATAGTTGACGTAATAATACACGACACACACATACACCGATACAGGCATCCACACACGTGCAATCATGGCGATCACCACCAAAGATATCCGCACACGCACGCACACGCACACACACGCACGCACACGCACGCACACGCACGCACAAGTGGAAAAACAACAACACGGAGGGAGGCAGAAGAAACAGCACAGAACAGAGAGATGCCTCAGATGCGAGTGTCTGAAAATATAAAAACCTTTAGAAATAGTCACATGATCAGATCTGGATCATAAGATGACTGTGCCAGCGATGGTTAAAGGTCTACAAGACAAGCTACAAAATTTCATCAGGAAACAGAAAACTATAAGCTGTAAATAATAAACATGGAGATTTGAAAAAGAATCTATTAGAAGATCTAGTGATAAAAATACAATAACAAAAGCATGAACCAGACCAACGGTTTGACCGAAGACACGCTGCAGCTAAAGAAAGAATTTTGAACAGATTCAGAATGAAGCACAAAGAAAAACATGTCACAGATGAGAGGGTGGTTTCGAGGATGTAAGTGACACGAAGACTCTTAGAGATGAGGACAAACTGAAAATTCTCTACCAGTGGACACACTCTAATGGAAATCCTTTTAAAAATCTAATTTAAGCAAAACTAAAATCATCCCCAAAAGAATGTCTGAGACAAAAGTAATAGAAGTGGTAAAATCCGATCGAATACCGATAATATAAAACAATAATGAATCATTAGATTCACAAAATGAACAGGAAAAAATACACAGCAAAAATGACATAATTCCGCAGAAATAATTCAGCAAGGCAGAAAACTCAGCTAAACTGTTTTACGGTTCTTATAGTTTCAGGGAGGAAGATAATGATATTGGTTAACTCTAGGCTTTCATAAGTCAAACACCCCGCTGTAGTTTCTACACCTTTCAAACCAATAGGGAAAAAATGGATCCTTAACCAATCCAAAATAAGTCAGAAAAGGAACAAAATAATAGTAATAGAACAAACCAAGCGGTAGAAAAAGCACAGGATCAGATGGCAGAGGGAACTGCAAATATATTAGTCGTTCCATTAATATAAGTGGTATATAGTAAAAGATGAAGATTATAAAGCTGGATTACTGGATTTCTAAAAAGTCAGTCAAGGACAAAGAATACCAGACCGAATTTAAAAAAACAGAATACTAAAGTTATTTAGAAAGGCATATTTAGAATAGGGTACTGAACGTTTGGAAAAAGGCACACTGTGCAAACATTAACTATCAGACGAAGCAGACTGTAAGGAAAAATTGTATTGATAGAGATAAAGATGATGTCTTCAGAATAACAAAAGGTTCAATTTACCGAGAAGATACAATAATTTTAAAACCTGGTGACACATTCTCAAAATTATAACATAAAAACTAACATAACGACAAGGAGAAATAGACAAATGGCAAGTGGCATGGGAATCTGTTCAAAATTCTTTCTTTAGCTGCAGCGTGTCTTCGGTCAAACCGTTGGTCTGGTTCATGCTTTCAGGACATTTCAAGAAGGCTTTACGGCGTATGTATTGTATTTTTATTACTAGATCTTCTAATAGATTCTTTTTCAAATCTCCATGTTTATTATTTACAGCTTATAGTTTTCTGTTTCCTGATGAAATTTTGTAGCTTGTCTTTTAGACCTTTAACCATGGGAAACTTTAACGAAAACAAGGAGAAATAGACAAATGGCAAGTGGCATGGGAAACTTTAACGAAACCTTGGTAACTGATGGAATAAGCTGACAAAAATATTTAGTAATTACGTGAAAGATATGAACACAATTCACAAACTTGATCTGACTGACACACACCTGCGCATCAACCAACCAAAGAAAAAAAACGAAAAACAAGAAAAGCAGTAAAAGAATAGCTGTTAGTACAAAAATACTAATAACACGCCTAAATGTACAGGCACTAGTGTTACCAGTGACAATGTAGAGGTTTGCAGATTGATTTCTTTCTTAAAGACCTAGACGTGTTTATAGGAGACACACCTCAGGGGACCTGAAAAGGAATCGCTGCAGAAAGGACCACCAGGTCCCGCCCGCCTGAGGCCCACATGGGGCCCTCCCACCTGAGCCTGGGCCTCGCCTCAGCCCTGGGCCATAACATCCCTAAGCCCAGCTTCTTCCCCTGAGAAGTAGGATAATGACAACAGAATCTTTTTTGTTCGGTTGCTGTGGGGCTTAAATAAAGGACACACGCAGGTCGTTTCAACCCCTGGCATGACACGGGAATGGCTAAGGGTCCCCAAGGCTTGCCATCACCCCTCGGCCTACTTCTGCTCCCTGAGGCATTCCTCCTCCCTCTTCACGCCCAGTGCTGCCATCCTGACTCAGGCTATTTCACAAACTGAATTGTAAAGTCTTTTAACCACCAAGCTAGTCGAACAGAACTGTGAGCTCTTCCCAGTGCACGACACACGACTCCTGCCCTTGGGCCTTGGCTCACACTCACTCCTCTGGCCCGAGTTCCCCGTACTTGACCCAACCGTGTGAAAATTCAACCCGTCTTTCACGGTCCGGCTCAAACTCCTCCACGAGGCCTTTCCTGCTCTTCCCCAAGAAAGTGCCTTCTTCTGAGCTCCCGCTGAGCTTATGGGACTCACTACTTTTATTTCCGATAAGCCATATTTATCCTATACACCAAGCCTTTTTCTAGTCAAATACTCTCAGTTTCCAGTTAGATGCATGTCACAAAGGATGGTGAGGGTGTATAAAGTTTGCAATTTTTCCTTCAGACAATATTCAGTGCCTAAGACTATGGCCATCATCTTGTTACCCGAGTAAAGAGCAAATCACAGAATGTGGTCCATGTGATCCTGAGACAAACCAAATGTTTTCAGAATGAAAAAGGATTCTACAATTGCTTTCTTACTTTTCCTTCCTACTGCCCAACTGACGGGCTGTGTATTGATCCCCGTAGTCAGTGAGCACCAGTTGTCGAGAAAAGACATTCACTTTGTTGCCTATAAATAAATCTTCCAGGTGAAGGTCGTCATATTTGGTCCGCTTTAAAAAGGTGCGATGATTCTTCACATCATGCTAGAACCAAAAATAATACGATAGAACAAATAATTACCAGTCGGGAATGTTAATCTTATAAAGTAGATATAGTTCTTAGTTCTGCTGTATTAAACATAGGTTACATTTGGTTTCGTTTTTGCTACAAATACAAATCATAATTTCTTTTATACTATAACTTCTGCATGTCCTAGTCAATTCCGGTAATAACATAAAAACTTATTACAAATTTAATACTTTAAAAAGCCCTAAATAGAAAGATTTGTTTATTGCCAAATCATTTCAGCAAATCAGAACCTCTGAAAGCCCAGAGAAATCCCAAATTTCTGTTTTCTTGCCTACACAAAACCCAACAGCCAGCAGATAACAGCCTTCAATACTGATGGCATATTTATGACCATGATCATCTCCATCTATAACCATGTATTGACTATTGCTTAATCCAAACCATGAAGAATTCTATTTCAGTCTTCTGACCAAAAACTATGAATTCCTATTTTTTGACATTTAAAAATAAAGACACAAAACTATCATCTTGTATTAGAATTATAATACCAAAAAAATAATTCCCGTAAAAAATATATAGAGACAAAAACATGTTTTTATGTAAAGGCAACCCGTTCCCCTCCCTATCACACCTTCACTCCCTCCCCAACTTTCAAGCAAAGAAAAGCTCATTTACCATTTCAACAGATCCGTCCTCTGGGTAATACAAAAGCTCATAACGTCGATAAAGTGAGGCATTTGGATCATACCACTCTGTAATGAAAACGAACCTTTCGCTATGATTCTGCAAGAAAAAAAAAAAAGGGATTTTAACACTAACATATGAAATATGAACTCTTGTATAAATCATATGGATTAAAAGCAAAAATGAGCAAATATGTGCAACAAACTAATCTGTTACTACTTATCCGTTACATTGAATTATTCTGCTTTTCTACAATATATCAGTTATCAACACACCCTCAGAAAGATTTCCTTCTAATTTCTTATTAAATATCCTTGGATATCTCAAACACAACTTACAAACTGCTTAATGCTATGCAGCCGTCCGGTCATGTCGAGGAACGATTTTGTAAAATGTGGACTCTGGATCTGACTACAATAATAATTCAGTCCTTCCGAAAGCAAGTTTACATATAAGCAATCAAAGTAAACGGCTGTGAAAAAAAAAAAATTCTGAGGCTAGCTGTCAATTACATGAAGTTTTAACTTTTCTAAATTTAAGACTCTAGCAGTATTAGCATATTGTCGTTAAAATCATAGCAAACATCTTCTCTCCCTAGTAATTTCACATCATAGCATCTTTTTTATAGGAATCATAGGAGAATGTGCAAGTCTCGGTCCTCTGAGAAGCAGAGGCGATGCCAAGACAGGACTAAACATGCAAGAATTTTATTCCTGTAAGAGAAATTCTGTGAGGGAAATTCCTATAAGATAAAAGCGGCAGAGATCTCAACACAAGTCTGAGCCTGAGAGGCGGGAGGAGGAAAGGAAGGCTCCGTGGGACTCCCCTGGGTTGCTGTGCCTTCCACGAGGGGCTCGGCAAGGCCCTCGGAGAGGGTTCCTCGCCTTCCAGGACATCCCTGCTCCTCCCGCCTGGCTGGGGGCCATCCTTGGGAAGCAAGTCCTGCGTGCAAAGGCAGCCTTGCGCTGCGAACACAAGGCTGGGCCCTTGGTCATCAGGCTCCCTCTAGTGGGAGGTCTGTGAAGTGCATCCTTATGGCTACCACACAGGATTAAATGAAAAAAACCAGAGTGGTCCCCTTTCCTTTCCTATTAAGCAGGACTTCCCATCAAATGTTATTAAAAATATCTTAGCCCCCAAAAGTTTTTTATTACACTAAGCAAATGAAGGCAGGAGGAAGAAAGGGGTCTAGGAGTTTTGCCGCTAATTCTGGATTTAGCGTCCGATTCTCTGGTTAGGGAATATGAATGGGTTCCTTTCATGTAATAATTCACTCATCGATTCTAATAGTAGAGGCTGCATGTCCAGTTGTCACTAACACATGTATAGGTTTTTATTAATGTACATTGGCCAAATCACACATTTTTTTTTCCTATTCAAATAAGCCTAATTTTAATTAATCAATGAACAAACAGAACAGTACTTTCCAAGCTCCTGCCAGGCCCATCCCTTTCAGGCGGGACTCACCCCCGACACCTACAAACAGCAGCGGTGGGGAGGGAGAGAAGACAGGTGTCACAGGGCACGACCTCTTATCTCCCGTCTGATTATCGTAAAAGTTCACCCTCAGATTTTCTATTTTTAATAATGTAACAAGAGGCTTATCACGTATGCTGATAGTGTGGGTTCCTTTGACATGAGATGACCTTCAGCAGGTTCTGTATAGACTGAATCGACAGAGGGACAGAATAAGCCCCACCCTTGAGACTCAGCCAGAGGTCCTAGGTGGGGGCGAGGGCCATGTCCGGAGGTCAAAATAGCAATCCTAATCCCCAGGTGCTTTGCAATCATCCTAAAATGACAAAGACCAATACACGTAAAACTACAGCGAAAGTGCAATACAAAAACAATTCAGAGATAGGCCGTGTGACATGAAACTACAGGCATTAGAAGAAAAGTAACTCATACGATCATGACAAAAGTCACAAGAGCAAGCATGGTGCCGCTGAAAACCTGAGAGGAAGCAGCTTGCAGGAGGACATGGAGAGCTGGCCAAGTGATATACCTACATTTTAAAAACAAAACGAAACTTGTGGTTCACTGAGCCAGTGAACATTCTGAGTAGAGAAATACGATCATGAGGCTAACATTTAAATAATATTCATCTTAATAGCAACCCACGTAGCATTAATGGGTGATGGATAAACACAATGTGGTATGTACATACGATGGAATATTACTCAGCCTTAAAAAGGAAAGAAATTCTGACACGTGCCACAAAATGAACCTTGAGAACATAATGCTAAGTAAAATAAGCTGGTCACAAAAAATATATATACACTGTATAATCCCACTTACGTGAGGTCCCTGGAGTAGTCAAAATCTGAGCAACAAAGAAGAACGGTGGTTGCCAGGGGCTGGGGAGGAGGGAACGGGGGTTCTGTTTGCTGGTTGTGGAGTCTCAGTGCTACAAGATGACAGGTGACGGTGGTGACGGCGGTGGTGGCTGCACAACTTCGTGCATGTGTTTAACAGCCCTGAACGGTGCACTCAAGAGGTTTAGGACAGCAAACTTTATGTCCCGCATATTGTACCACAATAAAAAAAACTGGGGGAAAAACGGACCACAGGTGATCAGATACTCTAGCCATGCACTCTCTTCCTCATTCCAAAAATGTTTATCGACCGTTTTTCTGGTGCTGAGCTCTGCGACACATTCTGTGAATTCCAAGAAACGATCCTTGATGTAAAACCCACATACATGAACAAACCATGCCGAGTCACTGTGACATCAACAGCGAGAGGCATAGGTTAAGAGCTGGCACTTTCTGTTAGGTGCTTGCTGTGTTCTGACTGCATAGTTCTAAACACTTGTGGATTTTAAACAAACGACATTAGGAGAGAGATGGTACTGTCATCTCCCTTTTAAGGACAATGGAACTAAGACTCAGTTAAAAAACACACCCAAGGTGGCACAGCATATAAACAGGGGAACCCAGGCCCCCTGCTCTTAACCACTCCCGAGAGTGCCGAGAAGGGGCTCAGCGGCCGGCCGAGGCTGCCCTGTCTGCTCGCCCTCCAGAACCTGAAACCAAACCCTTTCGATTTCACTGCCAATTAAAACGAATCAGATCTCAGAAAATATGACAACCATAAAAGCCAGGCCATATTGTCAACTTGGAATTCTATCGATGCCTTGAAAATGTACCTTGCACTCGATGATGCTGTATTTCAGGGAAAATTACTTCACAATATCACACTTCCTTAAATCACATTGAAACACATTTATAGGCTACATCACGGAAAACAGTCTTGAACTGACTAGAAACCTGATTTTCAGAATTTGTACGATTAAGAGTCAGAAACTGGCCTCAATCTATTTTGAGCCAATTATCTGCTTCTGTGTGACTTCACAGACATTCTGGAGTAAACTATATAGATGAGAAAGTGGACAGTTCAACAAGCTTCTAGAGTTTAAGTCTGCATGGACTTACGGCCACTCTGAGTGACATAATAGAAACTCACAGTACATGAGAACCTGCCACCTCAAGCCAGCTGCTTCCAGCGAGGGTCAATGAGCCTCGGACATTCTGAGAACACAGTGGTTCATTAAAGATTCATCACCGGACAGAGCAGGCGAATAAATGCAGCGATTCCTATTGCCTTAGATGCCGCGGTGATAAGTGTAATAGAAACGAACAGGTAACAACCAAAAGGTTTACATTTCCCCATTATCACAGGCTGGACTTCAAGCAGTAACTCGCTTGGTACTGAACCTTTACCAAACAGCCTTTGTCCAGGGCTCCTTGGAGGGCCAAGGATTTCCCTTACATCGGACTGTGTCACATATTAAGTTTGCTCTGGCATGGCCAGAACCGGTTCGAGCCTTTCCAGACTGTTCTCAGCAGGCTCTTGCTCCCTGCATGACCCACGCGGAAAGGTGAGCAGAAGGTGAACTCAGGGGAAGAGAGCCTTCGTGTGGGACTCCAGCTTGGTGCTTCTCGCTGATAAAGTCAGACACACAGACACGTCAAGAGAAAAAGGCAGGTGAATTATTAAATTTAGTTAATTATTCATTCCGCTTAAATTCCTTAGCAACTAAGTAGAACTGTTACAATCACTCTTATCTTTAAAAAGAATTACAGTTTAAGGCCAAATGTCTTCTCCATTCGTGAAAAATACGATGTTCAACGTGAGGTGTCCACATATTTCCAAGATTGTATTTTCTTTAAAAAAAAAGTCATTTGAGATAATATCTCAGAAGTCGAAGCCATCGTTGTTTGTCTTTAACAGAAAAACGTCAGTGCAGCAGCACACGAACACACACTCACGTGTTCCCCACCTGTGGATGCTCTTTCAACTTAGTGTCCACTAAACTGTCAAAGAGTGAAAAATGCCAGAAAAGAATCATTCCCATAGTGTAAGTGTAAATCAGGAAACTGATCGGACTAGAGAGCACCATTGAGAAAGACACACATCCGGTTTCAGCGAAGAAAGGACTTTTTAAGCCTTTCTCAGCTCAGGCCCTAGAGAGTCCTTGAAAGGCCTTCCTCTCAGACTTCCGCAGACCACTGCCATGAACTTAAACCCACACGTGCCACGAACTCAGAAAACCCGTTATCTGAAAAGCCAGGCTGAACTCTGCTTTATACTTTAAGGAAAACTAGAATTCCTGTGAAGTCTTCCCAGACCAACCCTCTGCCAACTGATATTTCTGCACTTGCAATTTGATTTTCACGGAATGTCAGAGATCAAAAGAACATTTCTGATAAGGAAACAGAAGGTCAAAGAAGTGCAGTGACTTGGCAAGAGTCTTACGACTTAAGTAGCGGCACTCAACAAAGACCCCTGTTTCCTGATGGCTGGGACTGATGTCCTCACAGTAGGACACTCACTGGCTTGTCACCCTAGCACGTCGGCTTTGCCAAATGAGGAGCTTCTGGGGGACAGAAACGACATCAATTTTTTTCTTTTGAAATTCCAAAGTGACTTTCCTAGCTCTGAGACCTGAGGGAAAAGAATCAAATAAAAACTACCCAAATAAAGATCGAAAGGATAAACATGTTCAACACTAGATCTTACGAAAACAGCAAAAATTCGACGAGATTAAAAGAAAAAGCAACCCAACAGCCCTTTGTCTGTAGGTCTGTTCATTTCTA